GGGCGCCAAACGTGCGCGGCAGAAGACGCGGCCGGTTCCGGCGACCAGGACACGAGGCCCGGCCGCGCCCAATCAGCAACCAGGGTTCCCTCTCAGGCCGGCGCCAGCTCCTTTCCTCAGGCATCCGCTAGCCACCGTCAGTTAAAGCTTTCCACCACTACAGTGCTGGAAAAGGTGAGAAACTAACAAGCAAAAGGAACCTAACCCAGTCCAAAACCCCAGGGCTGCGCGCAGTCAACCCCAAGTCCGCGCCCAAACCCGCCACTCACCAGGCGCGTGCGCAGTCACCCTGACCAGCCGTGAGCAGTGGGAGGGGCTGGACAGAGTCGCGCTCGCGCAGGCGCCGACACAGGCGCAGGCGCACTCGCCTGGGCGCTTGGGGAAGCCAGGCAGTGTGCTGGCAGCGCCTCAATCCCGCGCTTTCGACCCTGGGGGTTGTATCTAGCCCGGAGTCGTTCCCTCACGTGTCTCATCAGTTGCCGCTAAGAACGGCGGCAATAAAAATTTAAGGTCCTGGCCGGGCGCGGTGGCTCACACCTGTAATCCCAGCACTTTGGGAGGTCGAGAAGGTGGGGGGGGAAATCACCTGAGGTCAGGAAGTTCGAGACCAGCCTGGCCAACATGGTGAAACCACGTCTGTACTGAAAATACAAAAATTAGCCGGGTGTAGTGGCGTGCGCCTGTAAACCCAGCTACTCGGTGGAGGGGGGGGGGGCGGGTGGTGAGGAAGGAGAATCCGGGAGGCGGACGGTGCAGTGAGCCGAGATCGGGCCACTAAATTCCACTAAACTATATCAAAAAATAAAATAAATTTAAGATCCTAAAGTTAAACCTACTGTTTTGCACTGAATCATGTAGGTTTTTAAAGTCAAGGCTTCATTGGTCTATCGATTACTCAGTCTTTTAATCAAATCAAAACGTTGACTTTAAATGTTGACATCAAATTGAGGCTTTGGTAAAATTTATAGGATTGGCACGGGGTGGGGGGAATCTTTAAAACTCGCTAGTCTTTAAAGATTCACTTACAATTTGATAACTGCCAAAACCTAAGAGTCCTCAGAGTCCTCAGTGTTGAGTGCATTGATCAATATATATATATATATATATATATATATATATATATATATATAGACATCTAGCACTGTTAAGTATATACGATTTTTGTCAACAATACCTTAATTATCTGGCACACACAGGCACTGATTATTACGAGGTTTTCTTAGGTTTTGGCAGTTATCAAATTGTAAGTGATACAAAGTATTTGTTTTCAATTCCCCAAGATATCAATCTATATTATGCTCCTACCTCCCTTTCCTCCATTTTCTTTACCACTTTCGTGATCTTGCTAAGCTATATTCTGCTAAGCAATTTGAAAATCCTTTCTGGTATAAGGTAAGGATATAAACGAACTGTTCAGCTGGCAAATGATGCCAGTCAGTAAGTAGTTCATGAAACAGCAGGCTTATAATGTTGGGTGTACTATAATTTCTATTTTAAGAACTGTTTCCAGTTTATAATAACCCATGCTACATTTTGACTTCGATTGTTTTGAATTGATGACAAGTCTATTAACCAAATATTTCAAGATCAAGTGTATTCTGGAAAAGGATCAGGAAGAAAATATATAAAACAAACTAAAAGAAATTATCACAAACCAAGAAACAAAAACCAACTTTTATAAGTGCATTTTTTACGGAGGTGGTGTTCAATAAACAAAACCTTAGCTTATAATTACTTTAACAGAGGTTTACATTCAATCAAATTGAGTCTGAAACAGATCATTTTAAGCTTTCAAAGCTTCCATTGTTTTAATAGCGTGTAAGACATGTTATCTTCATGTATTTTACTATATCCTATTTTTACTATTAAAGTGACCACAGATGTTAGAGTTTTTTTTCTTACCTTCACTAGAGCTGTTGCTCAGACAGCATGACAGTAATACAGTAAATGTTTTCCTGGTGGAACCTATGCATTGTAACTTAATGGTTTTTGCAAATCATGAACATGTAAAATATTAAAGGAATACTCATTCTCTTTAAAGGGAAAATTTTGTCCAGTTAAATTGGACATGAAGGATGCTTTCAGATCAATTTCAATTCAGCAATTTTCCTTTTGTATTCACCAATGATTTTTGTTCATATGCTTCTCTTCAGAAGTGGTGCACAAAAGAAAGGAAAGTAGACTCAGGGCCAGGTGTGGGGCTCACACCAGTAATCCCGGCACTTTGGGAGGCTGAGGCGAGCTGATCACCTGAGGTCAGGAGTTTGAGACCAGCCTAGCCAACATGGCGAAACTGCATCTCTACTAAAGTTACAAAACTTAGCTGGGTGTGGTGGCGCACACCTGTATTCCCAGTTACTTGGGAGGCTGAGGCAGGAGAATCGCTCACACCCAGGAGGTGGAGGTTGCAATGAGGCGCAATCACGCCACTGCATTCCAGCCTGGGTAACAGAGGGCGTCTCCCATTTCAAAATAACAAAAAACAAACCACACTAGACTCAGTTCTTCTTAACAATAAAGAAATTACCTGTAATTACAAAAATAGATTTAGGTGTTTGTTTTTCTTCTATTGTTTGAGTGCTTTATCACAGTTACTCAGATTATCCTAAGCATGCTGCAAAGGATATTCCTTAGATTTCTAGTCCTAGAAAGTAATTTGAGAAAAGACTGTATTAAATAAAATAAGGAAAATCTGATGAAATTCTTCTGAGTTTCACAATAGGCATTCATGTATTAAAGCCTTCAACTTAATGCACTAAAGAAACCTGTTTTATTTCTCAAAACTTATTTAACAACAATAACTTTTTAAAAACTACTAATGCGTGAAACTGACTTTGGTTATCAGTGTTAGGATTTTTCCATTGTTGTAGAAGTAACAGGTGCATATTCAGCAGAAAATAAAATCGTTGTTGTAGTTTGAATAGTCCCTTGCAAAATTCAAGTGTTACCAATGGGCCAGTATGAAGAGGTGGGGCCTTTAAGAGGTGATTAGGCCAAGAGAATTCCTCCCTTATGAATGAAATCAGGTCCCATTACAAACGGGCTTGAAGGAGGGAGTTGATTGTTTTTCGCCAGCATCTGGTGACAGCTTTCTTGCTTCTTCCACATGATGGAAGGTGAAGGGCAGCCTACAGAAATGTGAGAAATAAGTTTCTGTTCTTCAGTCTCAGGTACTCTAACAGCACAAACAGACTAAGATGGTTGATTTAAATAGAACAGACTAAGATAGTTGACATAAATAGATCCATTTTCTCATTTAAAACAAAATATAGTAAATAATATGGTTAACTCTGCCCCAATATCCCTAGAGTGGTTGTGGTTAGTCTTATCACGCTGTATCAGTATGAAGATATTACACTATGTATTTAAAAGCAATTGACCATTAGGTATCTGACTTAGTGTTAGGATACATTTATCTAATGAAATGTGTTTTCAGAAATAATCTTTAAATACAATGAAATTTATTGAGCATCTACTACTATATTTAATCTATCACTGTGTTAAATTTTTTCTTTGGGAAGAACACTCATGAGCTCATGATATGGACAACAGACCTGTGGAAATTAATGTAAGCCCTGAGTAACTTAGTAAGGAATTGAATCTAGGTCTGCCTCTGCCTTGCACTCTAACAGTTCAAGTAGCTTTACCAGGTCAGTCCTCAGACATAATCATAACTTCCAGGGCAGTGCAGTTATAAACAAGTGTACAAATAAGAAGTTCCACTACTCAATACATCTTGGGTTTACTTAAAGCAGTATTTGAAGTCTAAGATGGTAAAGTAGGCAGAGGTGACCATTATGAAAACAGAAGAAAACTGCTCACTACTATGGGAATAGAAATGTTTAGCACATCCTATTTGTTTCACTTTGTTCTGGGAAACATCAATGACTTATCTCAGTTCACTCTCATGCTAAATATTAAGAATAATTTACAAGGACACTGGGTAGGAGGTTGAATTGCATGCCAGAACTGAGACAGAATGCTGCCGGAGGTGCTGTGTGGAATTTCCCAGCAAAAGATTATTTCATTAATTTCACCAAATATGCCATTTCCACTTAGTTTTAAAAGAAAGTCAAACTAAACTGCCATTTGAGATTTCATAGAATGCACAAGACCCAATCTGGGATCCTGTGTTTAACAAACAAAACGGTTCCATGAGCTAATCGGCATGTCAAAGGAGTCACTCAGAAGCCACTCAATATAAACCGATTGTATTTTTGGAGAGCACCATTAAAGATGTCTTTTTTTAAAGCTATTGATTTTTATATATTTGGGACCTTTGAAATCATCTGTGGCTCTCAAATGACAGATGATTAGCCTGTGTGTATGGCCCCACACCTGGTAATGAAAGAAAAACAAAAATTCAAACTACACTGTAATTGGTTTTCTTAAATAACTTTTCTTTATCCACCTTTGGAGTGGGATAAATCTCAATATAACCTAAATAACAACATTACAAATCAAAGAATATTCAAAGCAAATTCAGGTTAAAAATGAACATTTTAAAAATGTATTTTCTTTAAAAATTAACTTTTCACTTCATATGTTTACAAGATTTAACACTGAGCAAAGGGTGGGTCTGTCTAGCACACGTTAAGATGGTAATTCTCCACTTCCCCTGAAAGGCCAAAAACAATGACTCAAACTGCTAAAAGTATTTACTAAATATGCGCCAAATCTAATGATTTAACGAATAACTATGGAATTGTTTCTAAGACTGTGGGCTGATGTAAATATGATAAAATGTAGATAAAATTTTCCTACTTTTAATACTGGATATTCTGTAAGTGCCAGGAGTTCTCCCAGAAGGTAATGAAAATCTTGATTTTTATCTGTACAGATGTCTTCATTTTTTTAAATTTAAGATTATTTTAGGGCTATGTAACGTCCCCAGTATCAATCGTCCTATAATGTTAAACAAACCAGCACCATTTCAATGAGTTTCATGGAACAGTCTAGCTAAATACCAATGAACAAATCACACATGGTCAAAACAAAAATGTAATAAAAATATTTAGTGAAAAGACACATTTTTAACTCCCACTTATGAACTTTAAAAATACAAATAAAATTTTATCAACTTGATACTCAGCCTGTAACTGGCTCAATACATAGCCTTATTTCCTAAATCATATTGCAGCATCTTCTGAAAAACTAAATGCAACTTTATACCTTCATTAGTTATGTTAATAGAGGTAAATATTTAAACAGTACACTCATCCCTGGGTCTTTAAAAAAAACTGAAAAGTCTTAGTGTAAGTTTAAAATTTTAATATTTATAAATTTAAAAAATTGTACACGTGCTGAGTGGTAGCAGTGCTAACATTTTTGTGACCATTAAACCACAAACTCACTGCATAGAACTTCTTTCTTTGTACAGAGAATCAAATCACAATACCAACATTTGCAATTTGAAATAATTTTCTGTGGTAAAAGACACCACACCAGGAAGCCTGGGCTCAGAAAACACTTGAGGTCAGATCCCCAGTAGGTACATAGTGCAGATGCAGTAATTTCAGGCTAGGAAAGTTGGCTACTGGTATGTATCTGACAGTTCCTAATAGCTGAGAGGCCTAAGAATGCAGACTGGGGGAAAAGAAAAACAAAACAAAACAAAAAACAGCTCTCCAATTGCTGGGAGGGCCTGGGAATAGGTGAAGGGCAAACCACAGTGAGAGAGGAGGGTAAAGATGTGAGTTTCAAGCGGGTAATGGGCAAACTGAACCTCCCACTTCCTAGGAGGTAATCAACACAGCTGACTTCAGCGCTCCAGTCTTTACTAAGACTTACCCATAGAGCACTACAGCAGGAAACCGATTTCTTCATTCATCCTCTTTAAAAAGAATGAATGCCCAGTATTAAACTTCTAGTTTTATTTGAACCAAACATATTATTTGGCTAACTATGTCATGGGTTTTCATTATAATCAACCAGGCATACTTCACAATTTTTATATCTAAATGAAAATATGCTTGAATTCCAACTGGAACCATGGCACTTCGCATCAATTTGAGCTCAGCAATATGCCTGATTTGGTCATTTTAATTTTAGAAAATCAATTTTTAAAAATTATTAAATGCACTGTTTTCAGAACATAGTTACCAAGTCAGAGAATATCCACTTACATTTAAAAATAATTTAAAACATTTTATCCTCAAATCAGCTATGTTGTTTTGTGGGAAAACTGTTAAACCTAATATCCAAATCAGTTCCTTATTCTCTGGTTTAAAAAAAAAAAAAAAAAAAAAAACCAAAACCCTAAGAAGTACTAAGGTTTCTTCTGACTTAAAAGGTTAATATTTTATTCAGGAACCAATAACAATAATTCCTCATCAAAGACAGCTAACTTAGTAAGGTCTATTGACAACCATCTCTAACAACAGAGATGGCAAACAGATAAAAATTCTAACAGAAAAAAATAACATTTCAGGGTTCAGAATGATGCTGATTACTAGGAGACTCAAACTTGTAATTCTTGAAGCTTATAGCTAGTTCCCTTTAATACTTGAGGGGTTCATAGAAGTATTAACAGAAATGGGAAACATGGTGATTAACAACTATAAAGACCTGACATTTTTGGTAAAAGAGAAAGTTCAAGGACAGTTAAGGGGAGGGTTAAATAATGCTGACTGGGGGGAAATTATATAGACACTTGCTTTTGAAATGAAAATCGTGGAAAAATAGTAGTAACCATCTCATCTAACAAAGTAATGTAATATAATTACACAGTTTACAATGAAATAAGACTAAATTCTTAAAATTAGTTTGAAAAAAACCTGCAGTTTGTTTACATTAAATGTCACACTTTACACCAGACAAAAACTCGATGCAGCTGTCTTCCAACAGAGATGGCCAGCCTGAAAGACCGAAATGACAGTGGTGGAAAGGACACTGTCAAATACTGTCAAGTAATTTTGCTTCTGAGGCAGCCACCCATCCAGCCCAAGGATCATAAAAGCAAATTAATCTTTTTAACAGAACAAAAACACAGTTACAGGTGCTACTACATTATCAGACTGTGGACGTACAAGGTCTTTATAGTAATTGTGCCTTGGGAAACAAATGGGTCACGGAAAATAAAATAAGAAATAAACGAAGAATGTCTGGAAAACTAGAGGTTAAAGGATACTACATGAACCACAGAAATTTTATAAAACAAAAATTTAAAAATGAAATACTTGACAGTGTCCCTTTAACATATATAAAAGAGGGCACAAATAATGTTTTTGTTTTAAAAAATGTTTTAACAACTTAACAGTCAGTTTTAATAGAAAAAAAAAAAAAAAATCAACTGATTAGAATTAAGCCAGTGTTCTTGATACCCACTGGGCCAAGAGCATTAAAACAAAACAAGATGAGAGAAGTTAATAAACATAGCTAAAGGCAAAACTGGACAAAATAAAAGACACAACGTGAACAAACATCCAATCAGGCAAACATGCACACAAACACCCTGAAAAGGTCCAGCCATTGCAACTCAGTGGCATCCCCATCACCTAAAAAATGGTAGTGGCTTCTCCCCACCCCAGTGTGCCAACATTCAACATTCTGGTGATCTCGTTAAGTGTTATTTGGTCCAATCTGAAGAAGGTCTTTTTTAACTAAAACTGGTCTAATGAAATTACGCCTCAGGAATATGGAGATGAAATTTTCTATTTTTAGTTTTGTAATAGGATCTGGGCAAATTTTGCAAATATGTTGCCATCTGAATAAAAACTATTAAATACAGATGACTTTTTACTTACCAAGGCATTCCTTTGCCACTCATCTTTATTTTTAATAACTTGATTATAGTTTTCTCATGGCGTGTGGACCTGTCCAGTCAATTGTGTGTTTCAGTGCCCTTTGGAAAAGAGACTGTACTCACCACACACACAGATATATATAATTCACAACAGCTGAGAAAGCTTGAGGGAGCTGAGACACACAAAACACTAAGAACAATGCAAAACAAATAGATTACTGCTGCATATCACTTCAAGTTTTTTAAGGGGAAAAAAAAAACATCTAAAAATAAATGCATCATTCAAAGTATTTTTTAAAATATAGAAACGTGTACTTCGTGAAGACTGGTATTAACTTCCTTCCCAGCAGTCATTCAAAATGTTTTTGCTTCCCCTTAATTGTGACTCAATAGTGATCAGATTGAGAGACATGTTCCTCAAAAAGTTATGGCCCAAGGTCCTGCATTCACATCTACCTAACATCACATGCACAGTTTGGATGTAATTTAGATGCTCCAGTTTTGTTAACTGTTGATAGCACAGAGTTATACAGTTTTGCACAGCATCACATGTAATGACATATATGCTATGTGCAATCAGGTATAAAAACTGCATGTGCAACATGGTTTAGCAGGTAGGTGTCAGGAACATGGTGGAAGCCGATTTTCATGAGTGCACCTGTGCCAGAGTCCTCTACCTGTCACTGTGTTGTGAAAGTATTGCAGTAGGTGGAGTTTCATATGCCGCTGTTTATAAATTAGCTTTTATTTCCATAATTTAAGCTGGCACACTGAATTAGGGGAGCATGGCAGCTGTATAAAAATCCTGATTAAAAGATCAAAGTAGAGGATCTAAAGTGAATTTTTAATCTCTAAAATTAAATTCACGTGGCTCCCATGACTGGAGAAGAATTATTGCCCCTAATGCCCCAACGTGCAATAGTCTGTGTGAATCAGTAATTCACATCCTTTAAAATAATTATTGCTTAAGCAAGCCATTTAGAGTAGATATGGGCTATGTGGCTGGATAGAAACACACTCAAAAAGTTAAGACTAGACAGGAACAAGCCTTTCATTTCACTGATAAACCTACATAAATACACGATTGGAAGGGGCACAGATTCATAGCAGCTAACACCCTAAACCAACTCTGAGGCATCAGGACTTGGTTTCTTACTAAAACAAATCAGCGGTTTTTGTATTTTCCTCTTAAAATTAAGGCAATGAAATGGCTACAGTTCCTAAGGTTATTTTTATGGAACAAAAATATACTTGTATATATTCCTCAAGTTCAGGCATCAGAGTATGACTAGTGACTTGTATTACACAAAACCTGCAACACTGGGTTGATGTAAGAGAGAGAGAAAGAAAAGAAAGAGAGACAGACAGAGAGAGAAGGCAAGAAAAGCAAGAAAGCAAGCAAACAAGCAAGAAAGATAAGAAAAAGCCAACAAACCCCTGGTGATGTTTTCCCTTCCTGCTGAATTACAAACCTAATCATCAAAGGGAGGAAAAGCTAGAAAGCACAAAACCTCTTAAGAGTTTTCAATGTTTCTTTCATTGATTTCAAACTTTTGGGGTGATGGAAGGGAGAAGCTTATTAACATGAAAAGTCCCAGGCCCAACAACCAGACCTTCTGACTCTGAAGGTCTACAGTTGGGCCTAAGAATTTACCTTTTTACCAGCTCCTCAAGTGATGCAGGCGCTCTATGGAGATTTTCAGAAACACTGCCTAGCATATATCCATTTAATATTTAATGACAAAAATTCTAAACTTTGGCTAGCCACCTATGTTAAAAGGAAAAAAGGCACTGCATATGTATTTCATGGTGCCCATATCTGTTTGCACATATATGGAATTTCATTTTGAAAATTTTAAATCACCATTCAAAATCTAAAAGACATATGTATGACAGTTTGTGGCTAACACTTAACAGCAAAAGCTGATTCCAAGTTGGCCTCTCCTGTTTCACTGCATTGCATACATACATACATATCAAAGTTTCCGGCTCTCCAAAATCCAAAATGGCCAAATGAACTGAGGAACAGGACAAGACTCAAGTCAACTTTCAGCAATTCAGTGCACTTTGCAGAAAGGATCTAAATTAAGCATAAAGTTCTGTTGTTTATTTTACACAAAGGAGACCACCAACATTTGCCATAAATTCTTCTAAACTCTTTAAGAAGGCCATCTTCTGCTTCCGATCCAGCGTTGGAGGAGTGCTGCTTGCAGTGAGCTTGTTGAAGGCATCTGCTAATCTCTGGTAAATAACTGGGTCTTGCTGACTTGACAGTAATGTTTCGACCAGTTCAGAATATTCAGCCTATTGAAGAGATAAAGTATACACAAGAATATATCCTCCGAGAATGTCATACAAGTAGATGATGTCAGTTACTGGATGTAGGGTTCTAAAAGGCAGGGGCACATTTTAAGCGTTAACATTTACAGTAATTCAGCATTTAATTAAGCATTTACTGTTTGAAAACCTTTCCATGAGTTAATTCATCTATCGTTTATGGCAATGCTTCAAGACAGGTACTGTTTCTATTCTCATCCCAGAGGTGAAGGTTTCCACACTCAGTGAGGTGAAGTGATATGGCCCAGATCAAGCAAGAATCCAGGCAATTTGGCCCCAAGACCCATGTGATAATCAACTTCGTTATGCTGCCTCTTCAAAGCACATTATGCCTATTTACTTTGTGTATTACACATAATAAACAGTGCGATAGTTCCCCGGAGGTTAATAGAGACATCTTGTTCACACAGTTCTGAGGACAGCAGTGTGCACAAAGACGGAACAGGCAGGAGCCCTTTGGGAGGAGAGGTCAGAGAAATATATTCCAGCGTCTTCTCCAAGTGGAGCAGAGCACTCTGAAAGCTCCAAGTCAGTACTGTATCCAGGAGCCCTTAGAAAAAGGGCAGGAAAGGGGCTTTAGTAAATATAGGAATATGGAGAGTTTTCCTTTTTTTCTTTTTGAGACAGAGTCTTGCTCTGTCACCAGGCTGGAGTGCAGTGGCGCAATCTCGGCTCACTGCAAACTCTGCCTCCTGGGTTCAAGCGATTCTTCCGCCCCAACCTCCTGAGTAGCTGGGACCGCAGGCACGTGCCACCATGCCCGGCTA